GCTATAAGACACTTGGAGTGTCCCGTTGTTGTGAAAGCTTATATATAAATTCAGTTTCTTTCATGTGTTGATCATTTACATTTCTGTTCACATCAAAAACAGTGTTGAGTCTTTGAAGCTCCATAGCGTATGAGTTGTGCTTAGTTATTTTAGTAGTGACTGGCAGAGGGAAGTGATATATTGTACAATAATATGGGTTGTGATGGTGACCAACTCAAAAGTCAGTAATCTGTTCTTACTGATAAGAAATTTATTTTATTTTTGATATAGCACTTTAATTCCTGAATTAGATCCTATTTTAAAAGCAATTCTTAGCTTGACATTATGCTGGCTTAATGGCAGTTAGGTGTTGTGATATTGTTGACTATGGAAGAGGTAGTACAGGAATTTTTAAATCACTTCACATGTTCAAGAGAAGTAGTTTGATCTCATGAGACTTTGTAAGGAGAGGCTCACAGAATTTTACTTTAAATGCTTCTGACCAAATGGCATTATGTACTGCAAGAAGAGAATGCTATCTCTACTCATCTATGAGGTTTGGAAACCTTTATCAATCGAGGAGCAGAATGGGCATGAAAGTTCTGTAGAATTCTTTTTCTAAACTTTTGATTGTAGTTTTTTTTCTACAAAATAACTGACTTCAAATAAGATTTCTGTAAATTTTGTTATAGATTCATATCAAAAGCAATTAGAAACAACATACCATTCAAATATAATTCCTGGCTTCATAGTAAAATTTGAGTATAGAACTTATTGTTAAAGGAGCACTTTAATTGAAATTACTGCTTGACCATATTTTTTTCCTAGAATATAGTATTTGAAGTTTTAGCCAGCATGTGCCTGTAAACCTCCATTTTGTTTTAATTTTTAAAAAAAAGAAAATGTGGTGAGAGTGAAGAGAGGAAGAGAAATACATTGACTGTCTACTAGGGGAGTTTAACAATCCCAGCAAGAAGATTTAACGGTAACTTGTTCAAATATAAATCTGTATCCAAAGACTTAAACATCGGCTTTAGGACCAGAAGAGAATTAAGTAATGGGCTTCACTGATATTGAAACAGGACATCTTACTGGGATGTGTTTTTAGAATATACCATCATATAATCAAGCATTCATATGATTTGAAGCATCTTAAATTCTGTCCTAACTATTTGCAGGCAGATATTAGGAGAGACAAAGACTTATTTGTAAATCATCAAGACAGAATCTGCATGTGGCATTTTGTCTGTAAACAAAGTGCAATTGCTCCTCAAAGGCAATTTTGTAATAGAAGTAGCAGATCTGTGAAAGAGAGACTTAGATGCTGGTAGGTGGGAGCAGGTGTTGGCAACTGCAATAAATGGTTCTTAAATAGATACAGTTTCACATAGGGCACATTATCAATGATTGAATTTTGATACTTCAGAAAGCTGCTACACTCCAATCTTAGATAACAAGGTGCAGAGCTTTTCTGAAGAAGGGTCTAGGCCCGAAACGTCAGCCTTCCTGCTCCTCTGATGCTGCTTGGCCTGCTGTGTTCATCCAGCTCTGCACCTTGTTATCTCAGATTCTCCAGCATCTGCAGTTCCTACTATCTCTGAAACTCAAGTCTTAGATAGTTTAAAAGACCAGTGGATATATTTCTGAAAATATCTTAAGGTGACAGAAGTGCTATAAGTAATTCACAAACCTCAGTGTTCTTCAAAATAGATTATTTATCATCTAATCAACCAAAAGGTTTTTTTTTTTAGAAATTAAGCACGTTCTGAGAATATTCTGGATTGAAATATGAAGCCACTTAAGTTTTAGTTGTTTATTGATTATTACCAACTTTTATTAAGTGCCTATGACCCTTCACTGTGGTTAACTCGTGTGGGTGTAATATTCAAATGTTTCAATAAGAGCAGTAAGCAAATGCGCTGATTCCTAAGGGTAGAAACTCACAAATCACCTGAGAAATGAAACTTGGTCAGTATAGAGTTGGCGTTGAATCAAACAATTTTTGCAAGTTTAACTGCCCTACCTAAACCAGTCAGGCACTTAGCATTGGGTTCACAATACCTCTTCCCATTTGATCACATGTTCATTTACAGATCCGGTTGTATTAAGTGCCTGATTCTTGCACCCCATTGTGACTGTATCACCTACAAATGGAATATGTCTATGAAAGCTGATATTTAGCTTGTGTATTAAACAATTATATTGACACCTGTACTGTACAAGTCTTCAACTGCTTTGAATCTTTCTTGTGTTGAATAAAGAGGCTGTTTCCACTATTCATGCCAGTGTTTTATTTTTGTGCTCATGATACATCAAGGAGAAGGAAAGCTGTTTTTGAATGACATACATGTGCCAGTCCAAACTGAGGGCAAAGGACGAGGACACCAGTTTCAATAGTTGCCTTAGCATTGAGACCCAAGCTGTCTGAAATATGTCCTCATTTCCATGAAGCCAGCAAGCTCCACGCAGCTGCTGGTAAATCTTAATTATTGATATATTGCCACCTATTCTTGTATTCAGAGATTGGTGGCCTAGATAAATGGGAATCGAAAGTTGGCAGAAAGAACAGAGCAGAGAGCTGTCCTTTAAAGAGAAGACAGTTGAGAAATATTCCCACAGGAAGAAATGGTAGGACAAACTAAACCACGGCTTCCTGAATGAAAGAGTGAAATGAAAATAACAGATGTCTGATAAAAAAATGATTGCGAACCAAACTAAATCTAGAAAATTCAGAAGGGAAGTGAAAAAATAAATAAGAAACAAAAGGAAGTGTGAGAAGAAACTAGAAGCCAATATTGAAGGCTTCCTTTTTAATATATCCTCAAGTGAAAGGAGATTTATGCATTGGGTCAGAGGACATGACTAAGACAGTAAATCAGTACTTTTCACCTGTTTTGTACCAAGGAAGGTGCTGCTGCCAAATTGGGGTAAAAGGGAAGTAGTTATAACATAAGAGAATACGGATTTATAGAATAATGAGGTTTGGACTTTCCTTGAAGTTAAGAATGGGGTGGCCCCTCCCAGGACTTCGTTTGTCACTGGTGCCTTGGCCATGTACATAGAACATAGAACAGTAGAGTACAGGCCCTTCAGCCCACGATGTTGTGCCTAAACCTAAGGTCTATCTAACCTCCAACCCTACCTTATACTATCATCCATATGCTGATGTAGATGCTTTCCTAGTGGTGGAATATTAATTAAATTATTTACACAACTGGTGTTTTTCACGGTGACCTGCACCTACACACACACACGGCTGGGGAAAATAAACAGTACTGGTGTATGGCAATAGTGTAAAGGTATAAATAAGAACGGGTGTCCCCAATTTATGAATGTTTGGCTTAAATATGCAATCCCATACAAGGGTGTAATTTTTAAGATCATAGAATCCCTAGATTAGAGCAGGCCATTCAGCCCATTGATTTTCCCCCTGACCCAACACCCCCTCCCTCCCAAACCATCCATCCTATCCCTGTAACTCCATATGTCCCAAGGGCAATTCACCTAATCTACACGTTTGGACTGTGGGAGGAAACACACACTGTGAAGGGGAGAACGTGCAAACTACACCTTGATAATCACCCACAGGTGAAATTGAACTTGGGTCCCTGGAGCTGTGAGGCAACAGTTTAAACCATGGAGCCACTGTGCCACCCTGTGACATGCAGACATTTCCTGTAACTAATGCACAGCTGCTTTACATGGTTCTGCAGTGTTTAAACTTGTGTACAAATTGTTTAGTGAAGGGACTGCAGATTGAAATCCATTTGCATTCCAGGGACTGCCTGTATCTAGAACTGAAGGAGGTGTATCTGAAGCTGGCAGGAAGTAGGGTGGAGATGCTATCCAAAATCTTTGATCTTCCTTGGTTACAGGGCTGTTGCAAAAGTACTGGAGAATTGCAAATGTTGCACACTTGTTCAGAGGGTGTAAAATTATATACAGTAATAGATCAGTAGTGAGAAAACTTTTTAGAAATGATAACCTCTGCCAAAAGTCAAAGGAAAGTTAATGCAGATCAGTTAAAGCTAATTGTGTTCAACTAACAAATTTTTGATGAGGTAAATGGAGTTGAATTGTAAAAGGTGTTTGGTAAAGTGACAATCAACAAAGTTTAAAACAAATCTAACAAAAGTGACAATGGCAGTGTGGCTACAAAGTTAACTGAGTCACATTAACCAATAACTAGTACTGTTCAGTTTTTGAATTAGAGGAAACTTACAGTGGGGTTCCTAAGAATTAGTATTCTGACCACTGCTTTTTTTGATCTATATGAAGGGACAATTTTTCAATCATGGATGCGAAAAAACTTGCAAGTATTCTGAATTATGAACATGCTAAGATAGCCTTCCAAGAGAAATGGATTGGCATGTGGCAGATGAAATTTAATACAGAGAAAGTGATGCATTTTGAAAGAAAGAATGAGCATAGGCTATATAACATAGAAAATAGGATACAGGAAATAAGGGACATGAGGGCAGCTTGAGGAAGTGACTAACAAGACAGGTGGGATTCTGGCCTTTACAGAGAGGCACACAGTAAACATTAGTACAGGGTGGAACGCTGACATTTTATAAAACTGATTCAGTTGCATCTGGACTATTGTCAAATTTTAGGCACGCACTTTTAAAAGGACTGAAATTGTTTAGAGAAGATGCAGAAAACATTTACAAGAATGGTTTGAGAGATGAAGGACTTCAATTACAAATATAGATTGGAGAAGTTCAGGTTCTCCTTGAGAGAATGTTGAAAGGGAATATTGCAAAAGTGTTCAAAATCTTGACTCTTGACAAAGAGCATAGAGAGAAACTGTTCCTGTTGATGAAAGAATCAAAAACATGAGGTCAGAATCAAATTAAGAGAGAAACCTATTAATGCAGCAAGTGATTAGTGTTTGGAAAACACTGCCTATGATTCTAAACCATCCCAATGTATGTATCTACATTAAGACAGGCAGCATTATTCTTGCCAGAGTGGAAACTGAACAAGCTAGTTCTGCAAAATGCCTGAATTTTTAGGCCTCTAAGCCCCAATTTGTTCTTGATCACACGCTTCACTTGCAAACCCCACCCCCCACCTCATCCATCAGTAAAAAAAAACGACCCTAAAAGCAATTACACTTGTATTCATTTTGATACTTGGATCAAGGCTAACATTCTCGGGTTTTTAAGCTGTTGATTGTCTATCCTCAGACTGCAAATGGAATGGGGAAAGGACAACTGGGAAGAAAGGGTTAATTTAGCATATCAATAAAATTCATCAGACCCTGGGGATGGAGACATTTGAACATAGCTGTTGGATAAAGTCACATGATCAGATTGGAATCCTGGATCTTCACCAGTCATTCCATTGCAGATAGCCATGGCGCTGGGTTTTCCTGAAAGAAAAGAATATACAAAATTAGTTCCAACTTGCTACTGGTCCAGCAGCAGAATTTGAACTGATTTCCTAGACTGGCAGAGGATACTTCCAGACATGTGGTCAATTTACTACAAAGATGTGACCAGGGGAGGGTCAGAAGTACAACATTTAAAGAAAAAGGGGTAGGCCATTTAGCCGTGACATTGATCTGCTGCTACTTTCAGTACCCAAAAATTTATTCACCCTCTGCCTTGAATATATTCAATGACTGAAAATCTATAGCTTCCTGTACTAGACAATTCCAGAGAGTCATACACTCTAAGTAATGCCTCATCATCTCAGTCCCAGGTGGATGGTCCAAAGATTTGGGGTTTGTTCTCCAATGGGCAGTTATGTCTTTTTTTCTTAATTTTAATGAATGATGAACTTTTATGAACTGTTCTTAATTTACTTTGAGTCTTATATTTGACATAACACATTATCTTGCATTGCAATTGTGTAATTTCAGAAAGTTAAGATACTCCCATACCATGGAAGGGGCCTGGCATCACATTTATGCTCTATAGCAAAATCCACGGAAGTACAAGTATGTATTAACTATTATTATTTGAATGTATTCTAAGGGATAACTTTGTAACTTCTTCCCTGCTATTTAAACAAATCTGGAAAATGCTTTATTTCAGATTTCAAACATATTCTTAAACTAACCATTCAGAAATTGAAAATCCAAGCTATTTACAAAACTGAAAAGAAAAGTACGTTTTGAGAAGTGGAAAATTTCAATTTTGTTTTATGCTGTTTTTTAAACTTGTAACGCATTTAACAATTTGAAGTCTCCTTTTTCATTCTGTCAGGCTCTACTTATTCACAGATCAAACTTTCGACCACAAGATGGCAGCGTAATTCTTGACATGGTCATATGAATAGATTTTGAGTTAGAGTAACTAAATACATTGCGGCACTAGTCACAGATACTATCCTCTTGAAACTAGCATGGAACATTGTTTCTGAATCCATTTACATAGTGCCTGTAGGTGTTACTTGAGACATTTTACAATTATGAGAAACAATAACTTTTTTCTCATTTCTCCCTTCTATTTGACTAGACAAGCAGGCGACTTCCTCCCATTCACCCACTGCTCTCCGTCACACTGCTATCATTACCTCAAAATAAAGGATAATCTATTCTATTCTAGGCAGGCCAGCAATATAGTTCTCTGTTTCAGTAACAGATCTGTGTTGGAGACAGAAGCTCACTGAATGTTTGTGAAATAGAAATCAGGGGTGTGAGGACTTCCATTGCACACGTTATCATACAATGCAGAGTCACTGTGATGCTGTCGTATAGCACATCAGTGATGAACATGCTGTAGCTATTAAATTTAGGAACTGCGTAAGGCTCTACCAAATTCCTTGGACAAGGGAAGATCCAGGAGTAAAGGATTTTCATATTGGCTTAGTTTTTTATTAATATCTACCAGACCTACATAAATTCTAATGTAATACATTATAGATCAAGTTCTGTAATCAGCTTTGTCTAATGATATCTCAGACAACCTAGGCTGTACAGATGTGATATAGTGATAAAGTTTGACTCTTGGTAATGTGACCCACACACCTTCCTCCTCCAGTTAGGCATATGTTAATCATCCCAATCTGATACCACATACCCTCAAAACAAATACAAAGTACTTTTGTGGTACCTCATTATTTTAGATTAATTAATCATAGATATTTTCTCATCAACCTGTTCAGAGAGATTATTACACACCTCAAGTGGGTAAGAACTTGAACTCAGGCCTCCTGTTCCAGACGTAGGGACACTACCACTATATGACAGGGGCCCTAGGGGTGAAGTACAAGTTAGTAAATTAACAGGGTAAAGCTGTAAGTGTCACAAGTTATACAGCATGGGAACAGGCCCTTCAGACCAACTTAGCCACACCGACCATAGTCATACAGCACTGAAACCAGCCCTTTGGACCAAGTTAGCCATACGACCATAGAGTCACACAGCTCGGAAACAGGCCCTTTGGTTCAACCAGTCTATACCCAACATAATCCCAAACTAAACTGGACCGACCTGCCTGCTCCTGGCCCATATCCCTCCAAACCTTTCTTATTCATGTACTTATCCAAATGTCTTTTAAACGTTGTAATTGTACCCGCATCCATCACTTCCTCAGGAAGTTCATTCCACACGTGAACCACCCTCTTTTTAAGAAAAAATAGCCTCCTATGTCTTTTTTAATCTCTCTCCTCTCACCTTAAAAATGTGCCCTCTAGTCTTGAAATCCCCCATCCTAGGGAAAAGACAACTACTATTAGCTCTATCTATACCTCTCATTACTTTACAAACTTCTGTTAGGTTGCCTCTCAACTTCCTACACTCCAGTGATAAGTCTCAGCCTATCCAGCCTTTCTTCAAAACTTCCATACCGGGCAACGTTCTGGTAAATCCCTTCTGAACCCTCTCCAGCTTGATATTATCTTTCCTACAACTGAGTAATCAGAACTGGACACAGTATCCCAGAAGAGGCCTCACCAATGTCCTGTATGACCTCAACATGACTTCCCAACTCCAATACTCAAATGACTGAGCAATGAAGGCAAGTGTGCCAAATGCCTTTTTAACCACCCTGTCTAATGTGACACAAATGTCAAAGAATTATGTACCTGCACCTCTAGTTCCCTCTGTTCTACAACACGACCCAAGGCCCTCACATTAATTGTACAAGCCCTGCCCTTGTTTGTTGTACCAAAATGCAAATACCTCTCATTTATCCAGATTGAACTCCATCTGCCATTTTTGAGCCCATTGACTCATTTAGAACATAGAACATAGAACAGTACGGCACAGTACAGGCCCTTCGGCCCACGATGTTGTGCTGAACTTTTACCATAATCCTAAAGGTCGATCTAACCTCCACCCCTACCTTACACTATCATCCATATGCCTATCTAATAGCCGCTCAAATGCCCCTAATGAGGCCAACTCCACGACCCTCTCCGGCAATGCATTTCACGCCCCGAACACTCTCCGAGTGAAGAACCTACCTCTGACGTCTCCCCTATATCTACCTCCACTCACTTTAAAACTATGCACCCTCGTAATAGCAACCTCCACCCTAGGAAAAAGTCTCTGGCTGTCCACTCTATCTATACCTCTGATCATTTTGTACACCTCTATCAAGTCACCTCTCATCCTTCATCTTTCTAAAGAGAAAAGCCCTAGCTCTCTCAACCTTTCCTCGTAAGACCTTCCTTCCATTTCAGGCAACATCCTGGTAAATCTCCTCTGCACCTTTTCCAACGCTTCCACATCTTTCTTGTAATGAGGCGACCAGAACTGGACACAATACTCCAGATATGGCCGAACCAGGGTTTTGTATAGCTGGAGCATAACTTCATGGCTCTTGAACTCAATCCCTCCATTAATGAAAGCTAACACACCATACACCTTCTTAACAACTCTATCCACCTGGGTGTCGGCTTTCAGGAAACTGTGGACATGAACCCCAAGATCCCTCTGCTCCTCCACGCTGCCAAGAATCTTTCCATTAACCCTGTATTCTGCTTTCAAGTTTGTCCTTCCAAACTGAATCACCTCACACTTTTCAGAGTTAAACGTCATCTGCCACTTCTCAGCTCAGCTCTGCAACCTATCAATGTCCCTTTGTAACCTAGAACAGCCCTATGCACTGTCCATAACGCGACCCACCTTCGTATCGTCCACGAACTTACTAATCCACCCTTCCACTCCTACATCCAAATCATTTACAAAAATCACAAATAGAAGAGGACCCAGAACAGATCCTTGTTGTACACCACTCGTAACTGAGCACCATGTTGAATATTTTCCATCCACTACCACACTTTGTCTTCTAAGGTTCAGCCAATTCTGAATCCAATCTGCCACATTTCCCCCTATCCCATGCCTCCTTATTTTCTGCATGAGCCTACCATGGGGAACCTTATCAAACGCCTTGCTTAAATCCATGTATACCACATCCACTGCTGTACCTTCATCCACGTGTTTGGTCACCTCTTCAAAGAATTCAATAAGGTTTGAGAGACATGATCTACCCCTCACAAATCCATGCTATCACAAATCAAACTGTGCCTATCCAAGTGATCATAAATCCTCTCTCTCAGACCCCTTTCCAATAAATTGCCCACCACTGAAGTAAGACTAGCTGACCCATAATTTCTGGGGTTATCCCTATTTCCTTTTTTTAAACAAGAGAGTGGCAAACATCATTCCCCAATCTTCCAGCACTATACCCGTGGACAGCGAGGACGAAAAGATCATCGCCAAAAGCCCTGCGATCTCTTCCCTCGCTTCCCACAGAATCCTCGGATAAATACCATCAGGCCCAGGAAACTTATTGATCTTCAAGTTCCTCAAAATTCCTAGTACATCTTCCTTACTAACATCCACCTCCTCTAGCCTACCAGCCTGTTTCTTTGGTGGTGGGGTCGGATTGCAGATGGCGGAAGTGTCGGAGGATGATGCGTTGGATCCGGAGGTTGGTGGGGTGGTACGTGAGGACGAGGGGGATTCTTTTTTGGTTTTTATTGCGTGGACGGGGTGTGAGGGATGAGGTGCGGGAGATGTGGGAGACACGGTTGAGGGCGTTCTCGACCACTGAGGAGGGGAAGTTACGGTCCTTGAAAAACCCCACCACCAAAGACATCTTTCCCTCCCCACCTTTATCTGCTTTCCGGAGGGACAACTCTCTCCGTGACTCCCCCGTCCGCTCCACACTCCCCTCCAGCTCCACCACACCCGGCACTTTTCCCTGCAACCGCAGGAAGTGCTACACCTGCCCCCATACCTCCTCCCTCACCCCCATCCCAGGCCCCAAGAAGACTTTCCACATCAAGCAGATGTTCACCTGCACATCTGCCAATGTGGTATACTGCATCCGCTGTACCCGGTGTGGCTTCCTCTACATCGGGGAAACCAAGCGGAGACTCGGGGACCGCTTTGCAGAACACCTACGCTCGGTTCGCAACAAACAACTGCACCTCCCAGTCGCGAACCATTTCAACTCCCCCTCCCATTCCTCAGACGACATGTCCATCCTGGGCCTCCTGCAGTGCCACAACGATGCCACCCGAAGGTTGCAGGAACAGCAACTCATATTCCGCTTGGGAACCCTGCAGCCCAATGGTATCAATGTGGATTTCACAAGTTTCAAAATCTCCCCTCCCCCCACCGCATCCCAAAACCAGTCCAGCTCGTCCCTGCCTCCCTAACCTGTTCTTCCTCCCACCTATCCCCTCCTCCCACCTCAAGCCGCACCTCCATCTCCTACCGACCAACCTCATCCCGCCCCCTTGACCTGTCCGTCCTCCCTGGACTGACCTATCCCCTTCCTAACTCCCTACCTACACTCACCTTTCCTGGCCCCATCCCCGCCTCTTCGACCTGTTTGTTTCCTCTCCACCTATCCTCTCCTCTATCCCTCTTCTATCCGCCTCCCACTCTCTCCCTATTTATTTCAAAACCCCCTTCCCCTCCCCCTTTTCTGATGAAGGGTCTAGGCCCGAAACGTCAGCCTCTCTGCTCCTATGATGCTGCTTGGCCTGCTGTGTTCATCCAGCCCTGCACCTTGTTGTCTAAGATTCCTCCTATGCTTCTTCACCTAACTATTGGCACAACCATTTACTCCCTTTTCCGACCTACGCTTATACAAATTCCCATAAACGCATCCCTATCAACTGGTCATAATCCAGAGCCCCAGGCAAATGTTTTGGCATCATGTGTTCAAATTCCACCATGGCAAATGGTTAGTCTGATGGCAACCCTGCAACCATTTTCAAATGTCTGAAAAATCCATTTGGTACATTAATGTTATATCCTTAAGGAAATTTGGCACACTTAACAAATCTGGCTTATGTGACTCCAGACTCTCAATGGCCTCAAATTACACAGTAAGCCACTCAATTGTGTTAAACTATTGTGGAGTCTAGACAAAGCAATTAAACCACAGGGGCACCTTACATCAGTCCGAGCAATGGCAAACACAGTGCTGGTGACGATGTCAAGTCCTTCCTGCCAACATTCATGAACTTGTACCAAATTTGGGAGAGCTGTCACACAGTCTGATCAAGCCATTATCTAATATTGTCTGCAATGCATGATTTCGTGAATATGACTAATGCCCCAGACACCAACATGTGGTACATCCTCTATAACTAGGAGGAGAGACCCACCAGAGATGACAGTTGATAGTACACATTTGGGAAGGTGGTAACTGGGAATTCTCAACATCAACTTTGGACATCATGAAATTTCATGACATTAGGTCAAATATAGGCAAGGAAACCTCCTGCTTTTTATCAGCTACCTGTACCTGCTGCCCTCTGCCTGCCTGACGAGCTGATGAATCAATACTCCTCCATGCTGAAACCACGGAGCAAGTATGGACAGTGGCAAGGGAACAGAACATACTCTGGGTGGGAACTTCAACGTTCATTACCAAAAACGGATCAGCAGCACAGCTGACCTGGGCCTCAAGGGCATAGTTGCTGGACTGGGTCTGCACCAGATGGTGAGGGAACCAACAGGTGGGTAAATCCTAACTTTGTCCTCACCAATCAACCTAAGACATATACATATGCCCATGACAGTATTGGTAGAAGTGATTACAGCATAGCCCTTGTGGATTTGAACTCTCATTTTCCAGTTCAGGATACCCTCCATCGTGTTGTGCAGCACTAACACAGTGCTAAATGAGACAGACTTCAAACAGATCTGGCAACTCAGAACTGGGCATCCACGACATGCTGTGGGCCATAGCAGCAGAACTGTATTCAAGAACAATCCATAACCTTATGGTTGGGCATACACCCACACAATCATTACCATCATGCCAAAAGATCAACTCTGGTACAATGAAGAGTGCAGGAGTGCACACCAGGAACAGCACCAGATACACTTAATAATAAGCTACCAATCTGGTGAAGCTACAAGACGGAGCTACTTGCATGCTAAATGGCAAAAGCACCACGCACTAGACAGAGCTAAGTAATCCACAATCAACACTTCAGGTCTAAGCTCTGCATGTCTGCCACTTCCCATTGTGAATGGGGCTGGACAGTTAAACAATAATAGAAAGTGAAGGCCCCAAAAATGTCCCTGTCATCAACGATAGGGAAACTCAGCACATCTGAGCAAAAGACACGGTCAAAACATTTGCAGCCATCTTCGGCCAGGAGGTGCTGAGTAAATGATCTCTCTCAACTGTCTCTGGAGGTCCTCAGCATCAGATGCCATTCTGCAATTTAATTTACTCCATTAATATCAAGAAAAATCAGATGGAATTGGATACTAAAAAGACTGTAGACCCTGACAACATTCTGTCAGTATTACTGAAGACTTGTGTTACAGAACTAGCTGTGGCCTCAGCCAAGCTGTTCAAATATGGCTATAAGTGGTATTTACCCAAAGTGGAAAATTGCCCAGGTATATGTGCTGTCCACAAAAACAGGGCAAGTCCATCTCAGTCAATTCCCACCCTACCAGTCTATTCTCAATCATCAGCAACACAAATGGAAGAGGTTGAGGGCAGTGCTGTCAAACAACATTTGCATTGTAATAACATGTCGGTGACACTCAGCTTGGGTTTTGCAGGGGTCACTCAGCTCCTACTCTCATTACAGCTTTGGTCAAAATGGACAGAAGAACTGAATTCCAGAGGCGAATGTCAGCCCTTGACATCAAGGTTGCATTTGACTAAAATGGAGTCAATGGGAATCAGATGAAAATTCTACTGGTCAGTGTCATACCTATTACAAAGGAAGATGGTTCTGGTTGTTGAAGATCAATCACATCAGCCCCAAGACATCACTACAAGAGTGCCTCAGTACAATGCCCTAGGCCCAATGATCTTCAGCTACTTCATCAATAACCTTTTCTCTATCATAAAAGTGAGAAATAGTGGATGCTTGCTGGTGCGCAAAATGTTCAGCACCATTCGTGACTCCTCAGATACACAAGCATTCTGTATCCAAATGTAGCAAGACTCTGACAATATTCAGGCTTGGGCTGATATGTAGCAAGTAGCATTCACAAAACACAAGTACCAAGCAATAACCATCTCCATCAAGGGAGAATCTAACCATCTCTCCTTGCTATTCAATAGCATAACTATTTTACAATCTCCCAATATCCTCAGAAGTTACGACTGAGCAGAAACTGAACTGAATCAACCATATGAATGCTGTTACTTCAGAAGCAGGTCAAAAACTAGGAATTCCACAGCAAGTAACTCATCTCCTGCCTCCCCAGTAACTAGCCACCACCCACAAGACAAAGTCAGGAGTATGACAAAATATTCTCCATTTACCTGGATGGGTTCAGCTCCAATAACACTCAAGAACTCTGACACCATCCAGGGCAAAGCAGTTTTTCTTACTTTCTTACCCCAACCACTACCTTCAACAATCACACCTTGACCATCAGTGGCAGTGAATATGATCTGCAAGATGCACTGCAGTTACTTACAGTTCAACAGCACATTCCAAACATGCAATATTTATGATCCAGACAGACAAGGGCAGCAAATGCATGGCAACACCACCACGTGCAAGTTTCCCACCAAGAAATGCACCACTCTGACTCTGGATTATGTTGCTCTTCTTTCACTGTCACTGAGCCAAAATCCTTGAACTCCCTTCCCAACAGCACTGCCAGTGTCCCAAGCATCCAAAAGACTGCAGGAATTTAAAAGGCATATTAACAAAGGACAATAAATACTGGCCTTGCCAGAGACACCCACATTCCATCAACAAATAAAATAAAACACTGATCATGATAATGAATCCCATATTCTCACCATTCTTGAGTAAAGAAATTTCTTATGAATTCCCTGTTAGATGTTTCAGTGATTTTTTTTTTTAAATTCATGGCCTCTCACTCTGCTCTTCCCCAGAAGGGTAACAATTTGTTCACAACTTTCATAATTTTGAAGGCTTCCATGGAGCCCCTCCTCACATTCTCTTTTCAAGGGAAAAGAGAGGTAGCCAGTTCATCTATTTCTGAAAAACATAACTCTCAAATGGTGGACAGGGTCAGAACTAAATGCCCAAAAATAAAGCATTTTAAAGATCATATGTGAAGCAACGGGAGGAAATCCCTCCATTCCTAAAGCTTTTGATCTGAGCCAGGTTTCTGTGCGGTGGAATTAACTAAAGGAGCTGTTGCTTTACTTTTAAATGTTCTAGTGGACAGGCTAGAGTTGCGGAATTTGTAAAGACCAGATAGCAGCTCAATCACCTTCATTCTTGGTTACATGAGATACGTGAACAGTGAAGGGTTATAAAGAAACTAATAGCAGAATTACAGGAGCATTATATCTCTAGAAGCTTTTCTATTTATTCACGGGATACAGGTCACCGGATAGGCCAGCATTTATTGTCCATCCCTAATTGCCCAGAGCCCAAAGTCAACCACATTGCTGTGGGTCTGGAGTCACATGTAGGCCAGACAGGTAAAGGCAGCAGATCTCCTTCCCTAAAGGATATTAGTGAACCAGATGGGTTTTTTCCTGACAATCGGCAATGGTTTCATAGTTATCATTGGACTCTTATTTCCAGATTATTATTGAATTCAAACTCCACCTTCTGCAAGGATTCACACCCTGGTCTCTAGATTAATAGTCTAGCAATAATACCAGCACGCCATCGTCTACCTTTTACTATTGCATCTAAAGCACAAAAAACTGACAGGAGGTGCTTGCAAACTCATAACTGCATATCTTCTAAATGTGGAGGTCTCTCATATTAATGTAGGAACTTAGGATACAATTAACAATGAGTCAGTTTTATTTGAAATTAACATAAAAAGGATAATTTTCTATTGCTTCTACGTATTAAACATAGCTTAGAATCAGAAGCTCTGAACTCAAACCCTACCTAAGAAACTTGAGTCATAATCTAGGTTGACACTTCAGTGCAATACTGAGGGAATGTTGCCTGTTTGAGGAGCTGTTTTTTTTTCTGATGAAATGTTAAACCAGGGCCCCAGTTACTCATTCAGGTAGAAATAAAAAGATCCCACACACAAGAAAAGGAACGTAGTTCACACAGTGTTCTAAATCAACAAAAATTCTTTAACCAGCACACTCAAAATAAGATTATCTGATCATTAATTTTTATGCTGTATGTGGGACTTCATTACCTATAAATTGGTTTAATTGCCCTCCACTACAACTGCAATAACATTTCAAAGGATATTCAATTGCTGTCAGAGCATCCTGAATATGAGCAGTGCTGCATTAATGTAAATTATTTTACCAAATAAACAATTTTCACTGCCTTTCCCTTGTTAAAAAATGTAGTGTTTGTTACATGCCACGTTTAATGAAATAAAAAATTTACTTACACCAATTTCTGACAGTACAACTGCCTCACTTTCAAATTCGGTATCCAGAGACTCCACACCTAATTGGAACAAATTATTGCATTAGCTGTAACTTTAAATGTGAATAGTTTTACGCCTCACCTGCAGTATGGTGCCTGGCAATAGATCTCCTCTTTGGCAAGTAAACACTGCAATCTCTAATATTGATGAATTGAGTAATTCAAGATTATGGGACTTATTTGCTTTGCTAGACATGAAGCTGTTGCTTCTTTCTAATCTCGAGACAACTTCAAATTGAAACTTCCCCATGATCACAAATCACCAAAATATCAGATGATCCAAATTCTAAAAATCTTATCCGGTTCTATATGGCAAAAGATGGTACAGAATGCTATTAAGTGACAAAGTTACAATTATGATGTAGTAATAGCTGCACACATGTCACAAGTACAAATTTTAAACAATTTTCAAATGTATTGTGCTTCTGAAGCCTTAAACTGGATCACACATTCAATTTTTCCTGATCAAAACTTGACTAATCCTTCAATGGCCTGAGACTATCTTTATCAAACAATTATACTGAACTACCTTAAAAGAACATAGTTGCATCTTAATGGATTAATATATTCAACATTATAAAAATTGTATCATATATTTTAAAAGTGTCTACAGACTTAGCATGAGCAATGCCATAGGACTGCTGGCATTGGACATCAGTATTGCATAGTTTCTTCAATTGTTCAGCTGATTAACCTGGAAATCTACATGTACTCAAAAAAAAAATGGTAATTAGCTCCAACCCTCTCAGCCAAGCACCTTGCCAAAATCTCACATGCACCATGGTGTCCTAGCAAGACAGTCGAAATGCTGGAGATGGAATTAACTACATGGATGCACCTTTTCCATTGTTAAGTAAATGAACGTAGCACTAAAGCAAGAACCTAAAAACAGGTGTGAGCTGGAGGAACACAGCAGGCCAGGCAGCATCAGCGGAGCAGGAAAGTTGACATTTCAGGTCAGGACCCTTCTTTCCTGCTCCTCTGACGCTGCCTGGCCTGCTGTGTTCCTCCAGCTCCACACTTTATCTCTGACTCCAGCATCTGCACTTCTTGCTATCCCTAAAAATGGGTGTTGTCCAGAGAATTATCAGTAAAATACTCAAACCTCCTGTTCATCGTCTTTAACAGACATACAAAGCAATAGAATAGGTTGGCAACTTTTCACTTTAATAGCGCTACCAATACAACATTCCTTTAATACTTCACTGGAACTGGAATCCATAAGCTTGTGACAGGCAAGGAAAGATTGCTGGCAACTAAGCCTATAAACACAGCAGCAAATACAAGAATATTTGAGAACTGACCCATGTCAGAACGCATCAAATCTGTTCTTCTTCCCATGGATTCCCAAGCAAAAATTAAGAACTGAAAAGTTGTTTGACACAAGTAGAATTTGCATAATTATGAAACATAGATGGGTTATCTTGGACAGGTAGATGAAATTACTGTAGTAGTACTTCTCCACCTCCACTGTTAATCAATCTCAGTAATATATTGGATTTTGTCACAGCAAATCGTATACAATGCTGCAAATAGTAGAGATCCTTCTTCAGTTTTTTGGAAAGATCTCCATCCAAAATCTTAGTCTTTTCTTAATTTCAGATGCTGATCGATTTGTTGATGAATATAATTTTTAACAATTGCATTTTGTTTTTTATCTCCAATATGGATCTATACAATTGGCAAAATATTTTGTTTGAGAATAAAATTATTGACTTTTCCTTCCATAACAAGAGAATGGATATTTCCCTGTGAGTTCTAGTTACAACACTTAAAAGAAACTGCAAGATTAAGGTAACAAAATAAAAAGGCAAATGAGCCATAAACTCTTACCACATAGGTTTTTTACTTTGTTCATTGCCCTTCTTTTCAGGAAAGCTTGATAAGCCTCTGAGTTTTGATATGCTTTCAGCTCCTCAATATATCGTTGCTTGTCTTTTTCTGCTTCATCAATATACTTCTGCACATATAAAGGAAGGAATACTTAGTGAAATCCATATCTATTACATGAGATCAGTTTCCATGAGAAATGCTATTGCCATGGCCTGATACATCAAATTGTACCACATGCATACTTCCAATATATTAATAGGTGTTAAAAGTATTGCTGAGAAAAATACATTTTGTCTAAACTTTTGTATTGCACTCAGTGACGGTACTAGACCTTTAAGAGAGATTTGTTGTGTGCTGTTTCTCTTACAGAAAGGCATTGCCACAATGATGCTGGAATGTCTGCTTGAGAAACAGTGTCTTTTTAAAATTATACAAAAGAAGCACGAGTGGGTGGAGTCAGGTTCACACAGATCCAGGGTTTTAGTTTTGCTTTCAGCTGGGGTTTGGAGTTGGCTGTTGAAGCTGATAGCTGTACTATCTGTGTTGCAGCAAAAAGCTTGTGTTCTCTCTGCCGATGCTAGATTGTTTCTTTCAGAGTTCCTTTCTCCTGGACTGGAAAGGAGACAGCATGTGAGGAAAATCTGTTTTGCTGAATTTGCTATTGCAAATTGTGTTTATGGGATACTGCTATATTGCAACAGTTCATGATTAGTAGTTAATATATCATTTCATTAAATATTTCAATAGAGTTAAAGTTACGCTAATTCTTCTTTGTTTGTATTCTTACAACACAGTTAAAATAAAGCATATTTTGCTTAAAACCTAGTGGTGGACCAATCGAATCGCTGCCAATCTCATTTACATTTTAAAATCAGACAAGTTTTGATTGGTTAAGGCATTGCCTTGAGAACTGAACCAGCAAATGGCTGTCATTATTTTGTTGAGCAGAAAAAGGCATATTTTGTGTACATGCCTTTTCAGTCTGCAACGGAGCCTGTGTCTTTGGCTGTTCGCGGCATACTGACCATACTTAACCAACCTCCTTTTGCAAAAACGATAGTGCTGAACATTAGATGGGATTCTATGATTGAACATGTGCTGGATAATCCTGAGTGCGAGAAGAATTACACCGGCAAAACATTTAGGATCATCAGCCAGGTGTGCAGTGTGACTCATTTCCATGTACCAGAAGCTACACATATTAAAACACATTTGCCACACATTCATTGTGCAAGCTTGCTGCCAAAATGAGCATGTCAATGCTGTCCCGTGGTTTACTTAAAGTAGATAACTGCTCACTGTATAACTCACCATCTCACGAACAAGCCTAAGGTTAGCACTTGCAGCTCTGAAAAGAGCTTAATCTACCTCAAATTACTGTGGCAGGATAAGCTGAGCAACATTTGAAGCCAGCTGCTTCACGTCGCTTCTTTACAGTAGCAACACATATGGTATTCACCATTACAGGTACTATTGTTAAGCCAACAAAACATTCTGCCTTGCACACAAATGAGTAATTTGGTATATGAACTTCAATACTGGTGGGATGCCAGGTATTATGCACCAACAACTGGTGGATTATGTTAAACAACGGGTCACTTTGCCTGTTTGCAACAGATGGGAATAGACTGTACTCGACAAGCCCATGCTTGCAAAAATCTTTTTGTTTTTATTTGATTGCCCTGAATAGCCGGGCTTGATTTATTAGATAAACTCAAAGCACGAGTTCATACTCAGTGCCTAAACTTGGGCCAGGATGAGTAAATCCATTCCTGTGATACAAGATAGGGCTGTGTTTTAACTTCTCTTGGGAATCTAGGAAATCATTTTTGCTGGTGTATACCCATTTAAACAGGATACATCCAAAAAAAAGTAAGCTTGTAATAACAACAAGGGCTCAAAACTGGAGCTTTTGATTTCCAGCTAGGAGTACGTTAACCTCATTACACTGTTGTCCTAATGGAAGAGATAGTTACTTTTATTTTGTCTTTCTAAATAGCAGCAAGCAACAATTAATGGGTCAGTCTATTTAGCAATGACATCTACTATCAGGTTGTCAATCCTACAGACCAAGGGCTACATGTACCATCACCATCACCCCATCCCAGTTCCAGTGTTCGCATTCTGATCCCCTTACTGCTTAGTGTCATTTGTACCTATTTTTCTACTTGTCAGTTATTGCTTCTTGAATTATATGTTCCTGAATATTTGGGAAGTTATTTTTAAATGCCAATGTTTCATAGCAGATAAACCCGAATCTGAAGTCCAAGATCGGTTAGCATCAATTAATTGAAACATGAAAATAAACTTCATATTTAACTCTCAGGCCCATATTAAACCTCAATGTGAACCCGGAAGGCAAAGTTCTGAATGTACCCTCTTCTTCCTTCTCCAGTGCTCTTCGTTTTTTTGTTTGGGGAGCAGGAGAGCAAGAATAATAAGAGTTAATGTGGAGGGGGAAAAAACTCAAACATCTAAAGTCTACTCCAAACTAAAATAGGCAGGAAGAAAAATGTAACCACTTTAAAGATCTAGACATTTCTCACCTGTTTGCCCTCCTGAGACAGTTGCGACCACTGAGTGCCCAACAGTTTTGTAATCTCTGTAAAAGGGAGATCTGGATGTTCAATTTTCAGCTTGGCTCTCTGTTCATTCAGGAATAACACATACCTGTTGGGCAGTTACAAGGGATTAAAAAGGAACAAAATCTTAAGGGCAGAGTTACCAGGCATATTAATTGAAAAAAAATTAAGTGAGACTTAAGTGAGAATAAATCTAGCCATATTTTAACGAGGCATTTAGAAAAGTAATGCATTAAGAGACAATCTAAATTGATTCTTCAGTTATGATGTTCAAAAAATACAAATGGAAATGACCCAATTTTACCACATACACTTCAAAAACCATGTTTGTGATACACATACTATGCAAGTAATATTACAAAATATCAGGTTATTAATAAGCAGCTGTAATTTTATTTCTACAATCAATCAAAGTTTAGTTACACAAAATCAAAAGATTTCTCTATATTAATGAAGAGGTTGAGCTCTCTATAATGTAGCTTATTGCTCATAAATATAAAATAAGCATTTTTGGTGACTTTGAAGTCTTTTATCCAACTTGGTTTTAAACCTCACCGTAAGCTTGGATATTATCCTTTTGCCATAGCCTGTGCAGTTAACTTGCTAATATTAGTGTTGGTCCATACCTGCAATTTTGCTGGAGCTCTTTGGTATTAGTGGGGTGGCCAAAAGCGTTCATTCTAATTTCTTCGCTTTTCTAATTGCAGAATAGGTATTTTATTCTGACTTGGATTAGCGCTAACACATGAAGGAGATCTAATTGAAAATCATACCATTAAGATTCATTTACAAATCTGACAGAAACATTATTACAAGGGATGTGATTTTTATCACAGCAAGGTAGATGATATTGTGCTGTAGTGATCGAATGAGCAAACATCAGTACAAGTACTTACATTGACTGGAGTTCAAAATTAAGTCCCTCAAACATATATGCAAATAGTGTCACCAGCGTCTGACATTTGATGTGAAACTACTTACTTACCCTGTGGTTGGAGCCCGGGGTGCAGTAAAATCTTTTTGAGGTTTTCTCTTCTTGCCTTTTGGCCAACCACCTTTTCTTTTCTGGATTTAAAAGATATAGGGAGGTTTATGGGTGTCTCAATTGGCGTGAATACACCCCAATACTTTAGGTGATTACTGACAAAAAATACTTGCTTTTTAAAAATAAAATTTAAACTTCAGGTGAGCCTCATTATAAATAGCCCAACAGTAAGCACTTTTAAAATTTTAATTCACAGGATGTAAATGCTGCTGACAAAGCCAGAATTTATTGCCCATATGTATTGCCCTTGACAAGGTAGTAGTGAGCAACCTTCTTGACAACTGATTGGCTTGCCAAGCCTTTTCAGAAAGCAGTGAAGAGTCAACCACAGCGCTGTGGGTCTGATGTCACATATAGGCCAATCTAGATAAGCACAGCAGATTTCCTTCCCTAAAAGATATCAGTGAAGCTGACAGATTTTAAGATAATTCATAAGTGACATGGTCATTATTATTGATACTAGATTTTCATTCCAGATTTTTTTAATAAACTGAATTTTAAGTTCCTATCCTGCCATGATGGAATTGAACAAATGCCCTGTACCATTATCAGGATCTGTGAGCCGTCTAACATAACTACACTACCATTTCCATCCAGTCAGAAATCATTCAAAGCACGCACAGCAGAGCTAAAGATCAATTAAAATCCAACTTGGCATCATCCATTTATCATTCCCTGATTTATCTCATCAAGTTCTGTATACTTTTCTTGGTGGCATCCAGTATCATCGGTTTGACTCAAACTTGATTTTTTTTCCCCCCTAAAAGTAATATTATCGACATACACATGCCAAGACATTGCTAAAAGGCAAGAATTTGAAGCACTCACCTTGCACTCATCAGAACTAAGAAACAGATTTAAAACAAGGATACATTTCATACAGGGTGAGAAGAGGGCACTCATAATTGTTTTTGCTGCATTTCCATGCCAGTTTAACTGTTAATCTTGAGAGATAGTAGGAACTTCTTTCCTGCTCGGCCTGCTGTGTTCATCCAGCTCTACACCTTGTTAACTGTTAATCTTAATTCTCAGACCAGAGATGTGGATTCTGATTGGCCAGGGTGTTAAGGAAAAAGGTGCAACCTACATACAATTTCCTTTTGTCTTCATAAAACAGGATCCTATGTATTTAGAAATCTAGCTTCTAATGTTCTGTACTTCCAAGCAATTGTATACATGCACATGAAACAGCCCATCTCCAAATGTAGCAGACTTGGACCACATCTAGGTTTGGGCCAACAAGTGGCAGGTAATACATGGACCACATAAATACCTGGCAACATTACCCAACAAATGAGAATCTAACCATAACCCTTTAGCATTTAATGGCAATACCATCACTGAAACCCACACTCACGATACGACGTGCTTCAACAACACTAGATAACCTCGACATGATCCAGGAGAAAGCTGTCCATTTGCCTGGTATAACATCCACAAACATTCACTTCCTCCATTACTGATGCTCAATAGCAGCAGTGTGCAGCGTCTACAAGATGCACTGTATAAATTCACAAAGGTTTCTTAAGACAGCACTTTCCAAACCCACAATCACTTCCATCTGAGAGAACAAGGGCAGCAGAAACACATGGTAGCACTGCCAACTGTAAGTTCCCCTCAAAATCACTCACCATCCTGACGTAGAAATGTATCGCCATTCCTTAACCATCACTGGATCCAAATCCTGAAACTCCCTCGCTGAATGGCATTGTGGGTCCACCTATGCCAAAAGTATTGTACTGGTTCAAGGCAACAGCTCACCACCACTTTCTCAAGGGCAACGAGGAATAGGCAATAAGTGTTGGCTCTGCCAGCAGTGCCCATATCGCATAAATAATTTTTTTAAAAAACACCCTGGACTAAAACACTTCTTTCAGCACGAAATGACCATACTTGTTTAGACTGAAAAAAAACTTTAATTGCAGAATATGCCACTACACAGCAGCCTTAAAATCAGCAACAAGATACAAGGGCAAATATTAAAGTTCAGAATCCATATTTGAGTGACTGGGCATTTCTAAAGTAACTCTGTCAAGCATTTCTTGCTACCACTTTAAGCAAGGAGTGACACTGAAGTCAACAGGCTTACGAAAGTCAACAGGCTTCAAGTTCAAATTACTGCTTAAAATCTCAGTTTTTTTTAAGTGAACTGTATATTCTACTTTTAGAACTAGACTCAATTTGTTAAATGCCTGATGTGCTGGTATGTGGGTGACAGTAAGAATCACTGTATCACAGCAGTTGAAATGTTACTAGCATTACAATTTCATTTGATATCAAACTCATCTATTTCAACACTATCAAGTTTTCAATTCAACAAACGATTCTCTGGTGTACAACAATTCTCCTTAACTTAGGCTGTGTTGTTACTGTTTGAGCAACTCCTTTTTTTTGCAACTTAGCTCAATTCAGATTGTAGGAGGACAGAAACAGGAAATTGATTTGTTTCCCTTAATTTTCCACGAATGATATCACAAAACAATGTTATCTGTATCTCACAACAGATCAGAAGCAAAGCTGAACTCCTCTGTACCTGAAAACACAGTTTGACATCAACCACAGATCACTTTGCTTTTACACTGATTTTTTTCCCCAAATCAAATTCTTATTTTCAGTTAGGGCTGTAAAGTATAAGTTGATGTTTTGAACAGAACAAGTTTTTCCAAACACATTTCAGTTTAAAAACCTCAAAATCAATAAAGAAAAAATAACATTCAATTCCACTTACAAGAAACAATTCAATGTATCAGCCATTTACTGTGAAAATAGTAGGTAAGTAGCTGTTACATATCATTTGTACAAAATATGTCGACATAACGGAAAGAATTTGCTGTACAACGGGAGTAATCAACAACTTGCAATTTCTTCACCTTGAAAAATGTAGAAAAACATCTCATTGTCTTTCACTACAGTATAATCAGACAGTAAGATTTTTTAATCAAATGTTCTCTGGGTTTCAGATGGAAGGAGGAGGGGAAATTAATTCCACCAGAAGAATTTCCATGATTAGATCAACATAACAATAAAGGCTTTGCATACATACTGAATTCTAGTCAAAATTAAAATTGACAGCAGGAATTTCACCAAAGGCAACCAAACAGAGACAGATTTTCATCCATGCTGCTTATAAGTTTTTAAATCTCAAATATAAAATGATACTTTCAAATCTGACAAGAGTGAAATATTTGCCTTTATATTTTTCTCTGCATGTTATGGAAAACATTCATTTGAACATATTATGAACTTGATGTTGGATTATTGTGCAAAATCACTGTAAATAAGTTCACAACGTTCTGCTCAGACAGTTTTGGGGAATTAAAAAAGGAAAATAAGCTTGTGACTCTGGAACCAGTTGTGCTCAAAGTGACAGACTTATAGCTGATGTTTGAAACTATTGTATTAGCCCTATTAATAAGTATAAAAGTTGTGAGACATCCACCTGCCAATTACTACATCCATTGCAAACAGCTGATGTGTGGTATTGTTTTCTTTCTTGCGAATGATTGTATTTTATATTGCATTCTTGCATTTGTGGAATTTGAAGGGAAACCTATTAACCTAACCTGACCAAAAAACAATATACCCACTGCTGATTATTCAATCCATATACAGAGGTTGAAGATTAATAACAAATCAGACTGTGAAATAAGGGGTGATAGGGTTTAATCTGAATACGTCTTCAGAAATAGGGGTGTTCAACACTGTGGTTGATCTATCAAGAAATGAAGAGCATGTTCTGATGGAAGGTCACAGACCTGAAACGTTGTCTCTGTTTCTCCTTCCACAGGCGTTGCCAGAGTGAGCTGCTGAGTATTTCCACCATTTTCTGTTTTTAGTTCAAATTTCCAGCATCCGCAGTATTTTGCTTTTGAGTTGCTGTAGAAAGCATGTGTATTTGTGGTATCAATTGAGGCAAAGATCGGGAAAATAAGATCAATTTCCCAGCTGAAAACAACGCATTTATATTACAGGGCAGCTTCCCTAATACAAGGGTAAATAAAATATGAATCAGCAATGCCTTCCCTCTAATTGCCAATAGCACTTTAAAAGCACAGACACTTACAGCTGAATTTAATGGCCACAATATTGCCTCTACTCACTAGCCAAAAAGCCAGTGGTAACCTCACTATGACCATTTCCATGCGTCCCAATGTGATTAAATCCCTTTCTGACAGTCTGCTGCCTCTGCCAGGCTTCTCGGGGTTTTCAGGTTCAGGATGCTTCTTCTAACTGCAGTTGGCCAATTAAATCACCAATGACTCTGTGATTCCAACAGTTCCACCTGCAGCAGCAGATACTGCAACATGCTCAGAACCAGGAGCATCACTAAAAACCTCAAGTAAAGATAAGCAGTGTGGACTTGCTGGGTTGAAGCAGACAGGGGAGTGGCCATAGTAGAAGACAAAGTGAGTGGATTTGAAAAGGAGTGGCTCTCTTTGGGACAAGTCCCTTAATAAAACAGAGCAGGAGGGAAAGCAGTTTACAGTATGAAAATTTATCTGGTTTCATGAATGTTTAATTCCTGCTGCAAAATGACCAACATTAACAAGCATTAACAAGTGTCAATTTATGGATTAACAGTAGCACTGTCACTAGAGTCAGAAGCCTTCAGTTCAAGGCTTACTAAACAAAGCTTGAGCAAACAAAAACTATGCTAACACTTCAGTGTGGTACAGATGGTGCAAGGCAGCAGTGAAATTGTCAGTCTTCAGGTAAGATTCTAAACCAAAGCCAAAACTGCCCCTCTCAGCAGAGCCATATTATTATTTTGGAGGGGGAGCTCACCGTGTCCTGTTCAACATTTATTCCTCAAGCAACATCATTAGCTGTGATTACCTGCTGTGTACAAACTGGCTACAGCGTTTATATATTATTATAGTGACTACACTTTAAAAGTACTTCACTAGCTGTCAAGCACTTTGGGACATAGAGATTATGAAAGGCACTATGCAAACATAATGCTTTATAGCGGTGGGAACTTCAAATTTAGAATTCTTGGAATAGCTCCAAATATCTACCA